AAAAAAATAAGAAATCAGGAAGGGGGCAAACACTTTTTCACACCACTGTAGCTGCAGAACTGTTATCAAGCATGTCACTACTGAGATACATCAGTGAAACCCCCAGTGAGTACAGCTACTGAAGGCCCTTGCTGAGGAACCTCTGGAGTTCATACTGAGATAAAGCAGACCAGCTCAGACACAACAAGTGACATCTCTCAGTAGCAAGGAGCTCAGTTTTATTCTTAAATAAAACATTAGATGATGCTTAAAAGTCCAGAACAGAATTTTATATTTTCTTTACTTTGCCTTCTTAATTTATTTTCCAAGAAGGTGAATATTATTAGCAGTGGAAACTTACAGTACTTTTCAAGCAAAGAGCAATTTTAGAACTGTAGATGGAGCATATAAAAATACAATTCCATACAATATAATCTGTTTAACATTCAATTTTGTGTTTGTTACTGGATGGGAGTTAAGTATCGGGTATTGTCTTGAGAAATCGTTCTTTTGATTTAACTGGTATAACCTGTCATCCAGGTATTAATACAATATGGAATGTTAAGTGTTTTTCACACTTACATGGAGAAGGTCTTGAATGGTTTTAAAACTAAGATGTATTTGAACTCTTAATTTCTTCCCATGTTGATCGAAAGTCGCTGGGAAGGTATATCATATGTTTAGCACTGTATTACAGGGGCTGTCAGAAATAGTTGTAAGAGCTCTGCACCTAATAACAGAACGTTGTATGTACAAGTCCCCAACTTGGACATACTGTAGCTGTTAAATGCTTGAGGAAAGAACTTTGCCTCAGTAAACAAGCACCAACATTGCTGAGGGGTTAATGTCCAATGTACAGTATAAGTGCCCCTTATAAGTGAAGACTTCAGTTTGCTCAATACTACAGAATCCAGAACAAGGTTTTCCGTTAAAAAAGACACATGGAGTTAAAAAGGAACAGAGGGGAACTGAACCAAAATCATCAATAGACATGATAGACTGTCAGCACAGCTCCAAAAGGTTTGTCCTGTTGAACCAAGCAACACAGTGATATATTCCTCCTCTGTTATGGAGTTTGTTTCTGCCAGATATCAGTCAAGCAGGGTCCTGCAACAGCAAAATAAGAGTTCCTTATAACTAATTGAATTTTGGAGTTGATTCTTAAAACCCCAGCTACATGTTAATGAAAACAAAAAATTTTGAGTTGCCATTTAGTAGACACTTACCTTAGACTTACACTAATAACTGCTGCTACAGAGTCACAGGAAGCCAAGGGGTTTGCTTCTCTGCAGAAGCAGCGAACACAAAGAAGTAAAACAATGTGCTCACAGTAACACAAAGTTTTTATTGTGAATTTCCACAGATGAGATCAAGTTCAGAGAGTTGCTGGCAGAGCAAGTAATTCAACCGGGAACCTCTGGGTAACAAGCTACAGTACATGACCTCCTTGGTATAAATGTAAGATGTCTGCATGAGGGAGTGGTTCTCTTTCCTCTGCCCATGCTCTGGCACTTGTCTGGTCTGGCAGGTAACCGCCAGCTCTCAGTGTGGGGGTGGAAAGGCGAGGCCCCAGTTATTTTGAAATAGTAAATACGCACAATACATGGAACTTCAATGGACTAAGTTAAAGGATTTTTATTGCAAGAATTATCAAGGATTAATGACCCAACCCTCATGTTCTGGCAGATGAGGACTATGACCTCACCCTTGGCAGTCTAAGAACATGCTGCTGATTTCCTGGTCCTGGGGACCCACATACAACTCAA